AGACAATCTGGACTTCATTCAGAGAGCTCTGGCCTGAAGGGGAATAATGCTTCACTGATAAAACCCAAACCTCACTTTGATGGGTCTATGAAAAAGAAATTAGGGCCAATTCAAACAGAAAGACCAGGCTTTTGAGACACTTCACTGAAAGCACTGGGAGGGTCAGTAAAGAAAGGCAGGATTACAGATGTCGAAGGGATTTCTATCCATGCCTGATGGATAGAGAATCTCACACACACTGAAGTCAGGGGTGGCATTTTTACCAATTGGAGGTTACTAAGCCTTACAAAAACCTTTTATTTTCAAAGTATTTTTCTCTGCTAGACCTAGAGATAAATGGCACTTTCACCCTTTCTGGATGTGTCTGGCTGTTAAGTGGGGAGAGCATCCCAATTGTGAACTGGAGATGGAGTGGGAAGGGGATGGGGGATATTGCGCATGATTTTTCTTTCTTTCTTTCTTTCTTTTAAATTATTTTTTAGTTGTAGTTGGACACATACCTTTATTTTACTTATTTTTATGTGGTGCTTAAGATCAAACCCAGGGCCTTGCACGTGCTATCACTGATCTACAACTCCAGCCCCCATGCATGATTTTTCATTGACGAGTAAGGGAGAAACATTTAACTGGTCAAATGCCAAAAATGTAACAGGGATACAGACAGGCAAGGCAGTTTGGGAAAAGACGAAGATCACAGCTGGCAGGTAGCCCCTGGTAGGAGTGACAGCTCAGGAGTCCTAAACAAAAAGTAAGCAGTCAAGACTTCCTGCCCAGCACCTGCTGAGACAAGCTACCAAGGCTTCACCAGGTCACAGACCCTGTAGCTCACTGCGGCAGGGATGTGAGTAGCAGCTGCAGTAGAACAGTAGTGGCAGCAGTTTTCAGAATGTCTTTAAATAGCAATTTGAGGAAGGCGGCAGCTTTCCTGCACCCCCAAAGGCACTGAAATAGAACAAAGGTAACTAGGAAAATGGCTGGAGCCTGTGCAAAGGCAGTTGGCTGAGGCTTGTTGAGGAAGAGATCAGCAGCAACAACCCCTGAGAAGGTGATTGCAAGCACAGCTTGCTTGCTTACTTTTTCTTTGTTTCTTCTCTTATGTGTGTGTGTGTGTGTGTGTGTTATTGAGGCTTACCCTGGAGCACTCTGCCACTGACCTGCATCCCAGCCACCCCGCCCTTTTTTGAGACATGTTCTGTTGCTGAGGTTGTCCTCAAACTTGCACTCCTCCTGCCTTAGCCTCCTGAATCATTGGGATTATAGACATGTGCCACCATGCCTTAACCTTCAAAGTATATTAAATTACTATGTCAGGAGGACAAGCTACACTGTCTCTGGCCATGAGGATTTCCATGCAGACACTTGCTTGAGGGCAGCACAATCCTATTTCCTTTCTTCACCTAAGCCTCTAGTGTGGAACTAGACAGCACCTGAAAATGGCCATTGCTACCACTTATTGAGTGGGTACTACACCCAGTCACTGTATGCCCTTTCCATACAGTATCTCATCCAGTCCTATGAGGTAGGTGTTATTAACCCCAGTTTATAAATCAGGGAAAGGGGTTTAAAGAGGTTTAGAGATTTGCTTGAGGACACACAGCTAGAATCCAAATCTGCATCTGTCAGGTTAAGCTCCATAACCTTACTTTTAAACATGCATATTATTGGTAAATTTTATATGCAGGAATATATCATGGGGGGAATTTGGTCTTTCCCTTGTATCATCAAACTTGTTTATTTTGATGGTGCCTGGCTGGTGAGGGAAAAGGGGGAGCAGCAAATGGGCTAGTGGCTGATTCTAAGGCATTGGTTTCCTTTGGGGTGCTAGTTTACCCTGGTCACACAACCTTGAGTCTAGCTTGAGTTGGCCATGCTTTATGGGTAGGGGAAGTGTAGGCCATAGTCTTAGGGCATTTGCTCAGTGGAATTTGATGCTCTGTGTAGGATGATTTAGGAATATAAAGTTATAGTCAGATCAAAAGCCAGAGAAAAATCAGTAGTGCTGAGACATCCACCCAGAGGCTCTGACAGGATCTGCATTATGTGCTAATCTATAGATGGCATGCACCATGCTGAGGAACACCAACTCCACCCCAACCAGAAATGTACAGCTACACTGCCCAGAGAGTCTACCGTCACCTCTGAGTGATAAAACATGGTTTCTAATCAGGGATTCCCCACTCTTGCTGCACATTAAAATCCCCTGAAGAACTTTTTTTTTTTTTTTAATTTTTTAATATTTTTTTCCTAGTTCTCGGCGGACACAACATCCTTGTTGGTATGTGGTGCTGAGGATGGAACCCGGGCCGCACGCATGCCAGGCGAGCGCGCTACCGCTTGAACCACATCCCCAGCCCTCCTGAAGAACTTTTAAAATGCCTGAGACTCACCTTACAGCTAAGACTCAGAATCTTAGGGGCTGAACTTAGGCTTTTTTTTTTTTTTAAGTTTCTTTTTATGCTCCCCAGCTGATTTTAATAACCTAATAACACTTAGGTGTTCCACAGGAAAACTCATGATCTAATAACAGTAAGGATGCAGTAGGGCAGAAAGTTGAGGAAAAAACACTGGATAGGAGACTTTGTAGGAAATACACCATGGTTTCAAAAGAAAAGGTCACTGTCTTGGCTCTGCTTATGAAAACATCTAAGCATAATTACACAACCTATTGTGCTTTCTTAGTTATCAGCAAAGAGGCTTTTTTTTTTTCCACAAAGTGGGAGTGGTCAAAATAACTTTTCATTTTTTGGCAAATGGAAGACTTTATATTAAAACAAAATTAAGTCTGTCATACACATTAAAAATATAAGAAGTTTCATGAAGACATGAAGCTTCCAATCCAGTTTTTGTAGCAACTTTTAGAAAGAGAATTACATATAAATACAGTACACTTTACAGTTCCCAAACTTCATAATTCTATACTGTGATTTATATAGCTTCTCTTTATATTTGACATATCCCACCTTGCTCACTTAACATACCCTAAATCTGCACCACTTCAGAATATGGAAATAATAATAATAATAACAATAAGAGGAGAGTAAGAACATTGAGAAGTGATCAGAAGAAAAACGTTTGACTCACAAATTAAGACTGAATCTTTTTCTCAAAATATTAAGAGTTTGTTCTTAAACATGTGTGTGTGAAGCCTTATTCTGAAGACACAGAAAGTCTCAGGCTACTGACATGAATTCAGTAGGAAAATGAAAGCTGCCTCAGTTGCTGTGGAAGCTGATATTACAGCAGAAACCTCTGCCCTAATGGAGGAATTAAGGGAAATACATAAGCTAAAATTTCAACAGCTTGTATATCTAGCAAAGAGAAGTCAAATTCTGAAATGAGAGCAATCCTGGTTGATAGAATATTCATTCTATCACTCTGCCTCAGGACGCCTCTCCCCAACTGATTCCAGGACGGCAAGTATATCTATATTCAACTACAATACCCCTCCCCCCAAAAAAACCTCCAAAAATGAAAACGTAAGGCATTTCCAAATAAGGGAGTCAGAATTTCCTCTTTAAGAGAACTTGTTCAGACAACTTCAGCTCTTGGAAAACCTGAACACTGGAAGAGTTTGGAAGTCCCAGACTTTCCAGTTCAAGATCTAAGGCTATTTATTGCAAAGGCAGTACAAAGAAATTCAAGAGAAGTGTTCCACGCCTCTTATAGAAATTATTTCATGCACTCTCTTCTTGTCTCATGATGTAAAGTGATAAGCCTATAGCTTCCTGCTGCCACAGGCCTGTGGACTGATCAAAATATAATCCTGAGGCAATGTTGTGAATGCTATAAAGCCAGAGAAGTAAGAGCTAATTTTACCTAAGAAATCAGGAAACAGTTTTTACAAAGGTGTAATACTGAGGTGGAACCCTGAAGGATGAAGATAAGTTTATCACATTGATGATAGGTGGGTGGGGGAAGGCATTTGAGGCATAAGAAACATATGGACCAAGAT